ATAGAAACCTTAACTAAGACAATGTTTCAATTAACAGAAAATTCAGTGGAGTTTTTAAAATGTCATACATAAAAGTTATTTCCCCGTTATAAAATGGTTACTTAGTTTCTACCATATAATGAAGATAAATCTGTCTTTAATTTTTTTCTCTGTGTATCTACTAATAAATAAATCAAATTATTTCACTAATGGGGGCTTTAAAATTCTGGAACTATTCTGCATTTCCATCAACTTGGACAAAGAAAGCAATCTGATTTAATTCAAATAAAACAGAAAATAATATTCAATAAAGCATTGGAGAAGAAAATCCTGTAAAAATAAATAAATGTCTGAAAAATATAGTCATATATTGATCATTCCTAGCATAAAAGTCAGAGTTTATAATAAAATTTCAGAATGCTAAATAAAACAAAGTAACTGCTTCCCCTAAAATGCATTTGCTGTTTGCCTGGGATTAAAAGATGATGGCAACTGCAACTGGAAGACAGCTGCTTTATTTATGGGTTTATCTGATTTCTGCAACTTCTTAGTAACATTTTAACTAGTAATGAATATGCTTCCTTTTTGCAGGTGTGATGAGTGATGAAAAACTACTTACTTGTTTACAGATTTGGTGTTGTTATCATGTACCTCCTTCATACAGAAACACTGTGGGCAGGTATGAATCTCTCACTTCCCCTCATGAACCTTACCAATATCAAGTTTAGAAAGAATGAAAGGGAGGGAGGGAGGGAGGGAGGGAGGGAAGGAGGGAGGGAGGGAGGGAGGGAGGGAGGGAGGGAGGCAGGCAACGTTACAGAGGCTCTGTTGCCAACCTGATGAAATCTAGAATTACCTGGGAGACAAGCCTCTGGGCACACCCATAAGAGGGTATTATATTAAGTAGGTGAACTGAGGTGGGAAGACCATTGCGAGTGGATCAATTTCCTAGAATGACATCTTGAGCTATATGAAAAGGAGAAGTTGAGCTGAGCACAAGCACTCACTCCTCCCTGCTTCATGGTTGTGGATACAATGCAAAAGCCAGCATGTGGATCCGCACAATAAAATATAGACATAAATTCTCACAACTAAAGACAAGTGACTTTTTACAAAGATGGAAAAAACAGCTTATTAATGAATGTTGTTGAGAAAACCAACATACATGTGTAGAATGCTAAAACTATAGCCCATCTCTGGTCATGTATAAAACCAGTTCCAAATATAGAAAATATTTTAATTTAAAATATAAAGCTCTGAAAATGGGGAGATATGAGAAAACATTTTGAAATGCAAACATAGGCAAGGACTTTCTGAGTAGAACTCCAAATATTCATGGAATTAATGCAAAAACAAAAAAAACAGACAAATGGGATTGCATGAAATTAGCTGTCTCTGTACAGGAAATAAAAAAGTTATTTGAATGAGTGTCCTAAAGTATAAGAAAAATGTTTGTTAACCCTATATCTGACAAAGGAATAATATATAGAATATGTAAGGATCTCACAAAACTAAATGCCAAGAAACCCAACAATCCAATCACTAAACAGTTCAATTAGATAGTTCTTGAAATGAATTAAAAATAACCATTAAACATATGAAAAAGTTCAGCATGATTATCAGAAAAAAAGCAAATTAAAGCACATTATGAGTTCATCTACCATGATTAGAATGACAGTCATTAAGAAAATAGATGAGTCCTGGCAAAAGTGTTGAAAAATGTGTGTTATACAGTCCTGGTCACAATCTAAATTAGTTTAGACACCACTGATATCAATATGTAGGATCCAAAGACGAAAGACAAAACAAAAAATCTAAAGTTCATCAACCACATTATGCAGCCATACCACCCTTGGGTATTTACTTGAAGGGTTCTAAACCAACATACCACACTGCTATTCGTACATCCATGTTTATTGCACCACTATCCACGGTAGCTATAGAATTAACCATATAGTAGTACAAAATTTGTTTAAAGGAAAATAGATTCAATACATTAATGCAGATTAATACATTTTAAGCAAGTTAATTCAGATTAAGAAAGACAAATACTACATATCCTGAAGACAAAGAGGAGAAGAGAGAGAAAAGTATTAATGGCTTATGGGAGCATGGGACTTAGTGAAAGTACATTATATACTTGTAGGAAAATGTTCCTAAGATATCACCTCCTACATACAATAGATAATATACCAATAAAAAAATACAAAAATGAAACTATGACACAGTGATATTTAAACTGAGCTGCTAATGTCCTTTAGCAATTCTATGGCCCTGACACTCCATAATTTGCTATGGTGTGGTTCCACTTAAATATATAAGAGTGCTGCCAATCTTGAGAGTTCCTTGTTCATCATTCTGTTGCGGATGATGGTCTTCAGTGCCTCTGCAAAGTCTTACTCTGTGGCTTCCTACTTTGCAATCCTGAATTGTTGCTCAAATGGACAGCTGTTGTGTGCTACTGCCACCTGGTGGTTTTAGTTTGGTCCCTCTATCAGACCCTGAAATTCTTAAACTCATAGATCCTCATGGATTCAACCTGATGTCATATAGAAGAATTTTACCACTCTTGAAATGTCATATGATCCACCTACTCCTCATTTTATCTCCTCTTAAGAACCCAACCAACCATCCTTCATACCCTACATCATTGCTTTATCTAGAAGGCCATACACTAGAAACCATACAAGCTTTACTAATAGACAATATTCCATTGTATAAATGTAAAACATTTATTCAGTCACTTGTTGAAAAGCATTCATCTGCATCCAGTTGTGAATTGTGAGTAGTGATGCTTTAAACATTTGGGTGCAGGCTTTTGCATGGACCTACTTTTCAAGTCTTTTGTATCATATCTAGGCATATGAAAAATGAAGGCTCATTACTATGGTGAGACTATGGTTAAATTTGTCAGATAGACAGACAGACAGACAGACAGAGCACAGATGAATTCTCCTCCAAAGGATTTGATCATATTACATTCCCATCTGTGACAAACCACAGATGCCTGTAGTTCTGTGCTAACCAACATTTGATGTTGTTAGCACTTTGTATTTCAGCTACTCTTCTAATAGGTTTATGATAATATCTCATTACTTTTTTTGTAACTCTCTAATAAAATATATTTCAGAATTTATATATAAGAAAGATGTTTTTATATAGTGTATATATATAGAAAGAAGTTCTTTCTATGTTCTACATACAAGTCTTTTACTAATACCTGTTTTGCAACTATTTTTCTGCCTATGGTGTATCTTTTCCTTCTGCTAACAAAAATATTTTAATTAATTAAATACAAAACATTTAATTTTATTGTAAATTTTTTTATTGAGTGGACTAATGGTCAAGCTGTTGTAATTTATTTTCTGTATAACAAACATCCAGTTATTTAATTTAAGTTATGCAGTGGCAGTTGATTCTGTCTAATTTTATTCCATTTTTATTTGTTTTGTGTGTGCATGTGCATTTGTGCATGCAAGAAACTGTGTAAATGTACAACACCCCAGAGTGAAAGTGGATATCAGAGAATGAGTTGCAGTCATCTATTCACTCTCTCTACATTGTGGGTCCCAGGGATTGAACTCAGTTCCTCAGGGTTAGTAGTAAGTGCTTCTATATGATCAGCATTTCATCATCTTGATTTATTTCTAGTATGATGTGTACATGCTGTGCTTTCTACAGAAGAGTTCTCAGGACCAGACTGCAAAATAATAACCTACAGTTTCTGTTTTCAAATGAACCTATGCAGAATATTGTTTTCATTGTTCTGTTTTATTGTTTCACAAGTCCATGGCTGCATATACTGTGCTTTGTTCAAAAGTGCGCCCAATTCCCTCCCTTCCAATTTTTCTCTATGCTTCCCACCACTTTTTCACCCAATCCTCATATGTTCTCTTGTTTGCAAATCCACTGAGGCTACACAGTGGTGCCTGCATGTTCAGAGTTGAAATAATCTTTCTGTACACTGTGAATATGTGTCTCTGTTCTTCCTTGCCTGCCTAAGGATCCTTCTTATTGGTTTAATGAAGAGCCAAACAGCCCATAGCTAAGCAGTACAGGATAGGTGGCACTTCCAGGCAGAGATAGGATAGGAACACTAGGGGAAAAATTCTGAGATGCAGGAGACTCTTCAGCTAGACACAGGGGAAGTTTGATATTCAGTACTGGAGAGAGGTAAACACCATTTGGCAGAATGTAGATTAAAATAAACAGGTTAATTTAAGTTTTCAGAGCTAGTTGGGAACAAATATAAGCTAAATCCAAGCTTTCATAGTTAAATTAAAACAAATCTCCATGTCATCATTCAAGAGTTAGTGCTATAAAGAAAGACACTATACACAAATGTGTGAACATCAATTAGAGCATGTTTAGTTGTAAATGGAAGTTTCTGTCCTACCCAGTCCTGCAGTCATTTAGTCACAAATAAACACACAGAGGCTCATGTAATGGGATATTTACTTTGTCTCCTTCTGTGGCACTGACCATGCTCATTGGAGGGTGGAGCCAGGGGCCAAAGTGACCTGTGGAACTAGGTCTGAGGAGGAGCTGGTGGGAGGCAGAGAGGAAAGCAACTTGCTGGTGTGCATCTGTCTAGGTTGTAAGTTATTTCTCCCTGAATAAACATCTATTCGACCTACTGGTTTATCCTGATCCTTACTAAACCGCAACATGCTTATATTAATTATAAACTGTTTGGCCAATGGCTCAGGCTTCTTACTGGCTGTCTCTGAATTATTAACCCATTTTTATTAATCTGTGCATCTCCATGTAGTCTTGGCTTGCCAGTGATGCCTGTGCCTCCTACTTCCTCAGCAGCTACATGGCATCTCACTCACAACTCACTCCCTGTGTTCCTCTTCCAGCATTCTCCTAGTCTGGAAGCCCTGCCTATACTTCCTGCCTAGCTACATCCTGCCTGTCCATTGGCCAAAACAATTTTATTCATCAAGCAATAAGAGAAATATATATTCACAGCATATAGAATGACATCCCCCTTCAGGTAGTTTTGAGGAGCTGTATCCATGAAGAAAACTTACTCTCCCTCCTGCAATTCACCAACCATCAATGCCAATACCTTCTCAGCTACAGGTGGGAATTTAAGAGCCCCTTACACATTCATCCTGGGATTTGGGTGAGCTTAAGCTTGTGCACGCAGTAAGCTTATATGTCTGAAAGTTTAAGCCATACAGAATCATCTTTTCTCCACAAACTCCAGAAATAATTCTTGTCACAAGCCAAATTTCTCTATATTCTTGTGTTTCTAAGCTGTCCTATTGAGATCTCTTCTTAGGAACTAATTTAAGATTATATGAATATTCACTAAATAGAGATATTTTAAACTTATCTGGGGTGTTAAAGTAGAAATTTCTCCATGTTCATAGACATGCTCCGTGTGTGTGTGTGTGTGTGTGTGTGTGTGTGTGTGTGTGTGTGTGTGTTTTCAATTTTAAGGGAAGGGATCACTTCATATTGATGCATTGATTTGTGGTTTTACCATGTGGTTAAAAATTTTCAGTGCACCTTTAAGAACATTTCTTTTTTTCTCTCTCTCTTTCCTTTAAGAGTTTTGTAAGCTCAAATACATGTTAAGCCAAGTATTGGTCAGGTGTAGGAAAATCTAGAATTGCCTTTGAAAGTTTGACTCTAGACTCCATATTATCATCTTCTATGGTCTAGTTATATCCAGAAGACAAAACAAAACAAAAAATCCCTTGTTTCCAAAAGAGGACATTTGGAGAAGTAGATTTTAGCACTTTATTCTGTCTTGCTATTTAAAAAAAGTACCATAATAAATAAAAACAGAGAATAAAGGGAACAAAAATATTTTTCCTATATACATACTATATTCACATCATTTCTACCATTTCCTCTCTCTATCCAACTCCTCCCATGTCCCCAATCCTTCTCAAACCCACAACGTACTCTCTATTACACACAGACACACACACACACACACACACACACACACACACACACAGAGAGATGAGCTCATTTAGTGTTCTTCATATGCTTGGGTATTTAAGACTGACCACTTGGGAATGAATAACTTATGAGGGACTGATTCATGGAGAAGACTGACTCTTTGCTTTCTCTGCCACCATTAATTGCTTATAGTTCTTCATCTAAGGGTAAATGAAACCTAGTGAGATTTTTACCTTTCTGTATTAGCAGGTCAACCAATTATGCTATTATGCAGATTCTGTTTAAATTACCATATTGTTGAGATTTCATGAGTTTCCAAATGCTCCAAAAATAAGTTTTGCTTTTTTTCATGCAATATATTTGATCATATAATCTGCCTCCTACATCTCCTCCTGAATCTCCATAAATCCTTTACCTACCTATGTCGTTCTCTTGCTCCTCTTTCTCTCAAAAAAGTGTAACAGTGATGGCTCAATCAGCAAAGGAGAGAGCTACATTTAGATGTAGATATGAGGATATGTCTTAGAATGCAATTAGAAATTATACTGGTTTAGGGAAATGACAGTAGTAGGTTCTTTAAAAACGAATTTAAACATACAATGGGTGAGAATTTTTCAAAATCAAAGTTAAGAATAAGTCAAGACTTGCTGGGTGGTGGTGGCATGCACCTTTAATCCCAGCACTGGGGAGGCAGAGGCACATGGATCTCTGTGAATTTGAGACCAGCCTGGTCTACATGAGCTAGATCCAGGACAGCCTCCCAAGCCACAGAGAAACCCTGTCTTGAAAAACAAAACAAAACAAAACAAAAAGAATAATTCAAGATATGTGAAGCTTAAGCATAAGAACAAACATATACTTCTTGTGGCAATTTCAAATAATACAGCTTACAAACACTCAGAGAAACAATGAAATAGAATAAAAGAAAGTCAACTACTAAGCAGATAGCAACTCATTTGTGATGCCATTCAGCAGCAATGGTAATTATACACATTTCATAAGGGGAATAGTTTGATGAATCACCATTGATGACGTGCAAAATTAAGGTATTTTTTCAAGTGTACTGAGGAAAGATGACACCCAGCAAAAATGTGTTTGTGTGTTTTGAGGAAGAGGTGACTTAGAAGATTTCTTTGATTAAAGCTTTCACATTTTGGTTTCCTCTTCCCAGATCGATTCACGGTGACTGGATTAGAGGGGCCAGTTTTGGCTCCATTTGGTACAGTGCTTGAGCTCAGTTGTCAGTTGTCTCCACCACAAAATGCTCAGCACATGGAGATCCGCTGGTTCAGGACCCACTATACACAGCCTATTCACCTATACGATGATGGCAAAGATCTGTTTGGAGAAATTATTCCAAAATATGTGGAGAGAACAGAGCTCATGAAAGATGACATTAGAGAAGGGAAAGTGACCCTTAGGATCTTTAATGTCAATCCTGATGATGACGGGCAGTACCACTGCATCTTCAAGGATGGCAAGTTCTATGAAGAACACATCACAGAAGTCAAGGTCATAGGTAAGCATGGACTCCTCTGAAACAAACTTCTAACTTAATTCAGTGATTTACATATAAGAAAAATGTCCACTTATAAATTCTACAAAGAATTGAATCCTGGATGATTTGTTGGTTTTTGCCATCTAAAATCTTAAGTTAGTTGTTTTGATTTGTTAAATAGAAAATATTTTACTGAAAGAAAAAAACAAATTAAACAAGAAGGCCTTTTATCACCAGATTTGTATAGACATATATGTATGTTACTAAAGCAATAATTGATATTTGTATATTATGGCCTCTACATGTTTCCATCTGGTACCATCTATTTTAATTGATTGATTATGTCAATTAGAGCCCTGTAGAGTTTTGACTATCTTATATCTACAGACCCTGGAGTTAATATGAAGGAGGAGTGGTTTCCTTTTTGTGTTCTTTTTCTCTTTCCATTCACTACACACTACTGATTCCCCTTTGTTTATAACCAGCTGGGAGCTCCCGGGTTCAGATCCTTGTTCATCCTCCTACTACCAAAGGTGTGATAGTGGAGTGTCTCTCCAGAGGTTGGTTTCCACAGCCTCACTTGGAATGGAGAGATAGCAGAGGAGAGGTCATTCCAGCTGCATCAAAGTCCTATTCACAGGATAGAGACAAATTGTTTGATATGAAGATCACACTTGACCTTAGAGACAGCTCCCTCCGGAACATCACTTGCTGCATTTGGAACCCTCTAACAGGCAAAGAAGAAAGCACAGGCATTGTTCTACCAGGTAAATTAATGTATTCATTCTTGAAATAAGTTTATATAATTTAAACTTGAAACAAAACTTGTGTTTTTTTTTTTTTCATTTGGTTTCAGGCCATTCCTTTCCCTTCATCTTATTTATCATCTTATCTGTTGTATGATGCTTCCCTTTGCTAGAATCATTTCTTTCACCATTTTTCTTTTTTATTTATTTTTCTTATTTTACATATTGATTCCAGTTCCCTTTCCTCCCCTCGATCCCTCGATCCCTCCCTTCCTCCTTCCCATGCCCCCCCTGAACACCCTCCCATCCCACCCCACCCCCCACTCCACAAGAAGAATGATACCTTCCAGGAGGGATCAACAAAATCTGCCTAGTCATTTGGAGTAGGGACTAGGCCCTCTGTCTTGCCTCTGGGTTAAGGAAGTATCCCTCCATGGGGAATGTGCCTGCAAAGTCCTTTTATGCCCCTGAGATACATCCTGGTTCCACTGTCAGAGGTCCCTTAGACTGCCAAGGATTTCTAATTGAAACCCATGTTCAGGGGTCTGACTTGGTTCAATGTTGGTTTCCTAGCTATCAGTCTGGAGGTCCATTAGCCCCTTGTTCAGGTCAGCTGTCTCTGTGGGTTTCTGTAGCCTGATCTTGTCCTCCCTCTCTGCATCTGGATTCCCGTTCGGCTCAGTGTTTAGTTGTGGGTGTCTGCTTCTGTTTCCATCAACTACTAGATAAAGACTCTATGGTGGTGGATAAGTTAGTCGTCAATCTCATTATCAGGGAGGGCATTTAACATAGCCTTTCCACTGTTGCTCAGATTGTTAGTTAGGGTCATCCTTGAAGGTCTTTGGACATTTCTCTAGAGTCTTTTTCTCTTCAAACCTATAATGACTCCCTCTTTTATGGTATCTCTCTCTCTTTCTGTCTCTTTCTTTCTTCTTGTATGTTCCTCCCGACTCAATCTTCCTAGTCCCACATGCTTTCCTCTCCTCCCCTTCTCTTTCTCCTGGCTCCCTCTCCACTCACTGCCCCCCCCACTCCCAATGTGCTCAGGAGACCTTGTTCCTTTCCCCTTCTGTGAGGGACCTTGTATGAATCTCTTAGAATCCTCCTTGTATCCTAGTTTCTCTGAGGGTGTGAATTATAGCTTGGTGATCTTTTGCTCTAGGTCTAAAATCCATATATGAGTGAGTACACACCATGTTCCTCTTTTTGTGACTGTGTTACCTCATTCAGGATGGTTTCTTCAAGTTCCATTCATTTGCATATGAATTTCAAGATTCCTTTACCCCCCTCCATGAGTAGTATTCCATTGTGTAAATGTGCCACATCTTCTTTATCCATTCTTCAGTTGAGGAGCATCTAGGTTGCTTCCAAGTTCTTGCTATTACAAATAATTCTGCTATGAACATAGTTGAACAGATATTTTTGATGCATGGATGTGGATCATTTGGGTATATGCCTAAGATCTGATCCTCTCAGTCCTCTCTGTGCAGTAGATGTCTGTGTCCCAGTTAGCCACTGAGCATAAGGGATAGGTAGATTTTGGAGAAGAGTGAGGTTTGTTTGTAAGTTATAGGGTCTAGTGGGAAGTTGTTGATGTAACTAGCAGAAGTCCTTCCTGCTGACATGCTGATACGGGTGTGGAAAGGGCCTGGAATTTTGTTCCAGGACCTAGGACTCAGAGGCTATGTGGTCCAGATGGGAAGCTGGACATGCACCTCTCAGTCCTCTCTTGCAATAGATGTCTCAAAGAGATGTTCTTAATATTCCTAAGTTTTACTTGAACCTACCTTATCAAATGTTAGCATTCCCACTGTTCTATTTTTCTCTCTATGATGATACCATGACTGAAAACAATTTGGGTGATTGTTTGATTTAGCTTATACTTACCAGTCCATCACTAAGGGAAGTTGGAACAAAAACTCAAGTAGAAATAGAGGCCAAACCATAAAGGAAAGCTGATTATTAGACTGGTCTTCATGGCTTGATCAGTTTGTTTTCTTTTTTATTTCTCTTTTCTTTGAGACAGGGTTTGTCTGCTTATCCCTGGCTATTCTGGAACTTGCTCTGTAGACCAGGCTAGCCTCTACTCACAGAGATCTGCCTGCCTCTGCCTTCTTAGTGATGGGCAGTTTTTTTTCCTTACTAAATTCAAGACCTTTAATACAAAAAGTAAAAACCCAGAAGCAGATATTAGGATTCAAGCTTCAAGCTGAAGAGCAGAGAAGCAAAGTAGCCACCCACTAGCTCTTACCTCTAACTCAGACCAAAATGGGTGTTCCTATCTCCAGGAATCCTCAGAGGAAAAATAGTTCAAGTTCCTGTCTCCCCTTCTTTATGCTTCTTTCTTCATGCAGCCATATCACTCCTATCTCCACCTCCCTAATACTGGGATTAGAGGCATGTTATCCCAAGTCCTGAGATCACCTTCATGTGAGCTGTTTCTCTTTAGAACTGGATCAATTATGTAGCTCAGTGTGGCCTAGAACTAAACAGAGTTTCATCTACCTCTGTCTCTTGAGTCCTGGGATTAAAACTGTATACCATCACCACCTAGCTTCTATTCTATAGCTAACTAGTATGGCTGCTGGGGTTAAATGCATGCATCACCACTGCCTGATCTCTATAGCTTGTGGCTGGTTTTGCATTCTGAACCCCCAGGCAAGATTTATTAAATCATAAATCATATATCACCACAAAGACTAGCTGCCCAGAGTTGGCACTGCCTACGAATGGGAGGAGTCCTCCCACATCAATCATTCCCTCTCTCCTGCATCCATAATTAATCAAAACAAATGTTCAAAGGATAGTTCCATGGGTCAATCTGATTAAGTCAATTCCTCAAACTATATTCTTCCCTCCAAGGTCACTGTAAATTGTGTCAAGTTGACAAAAGAACTAACCATCACACTTGCCTTTTTATTGTGTCTACTCTCTGGGCCCATAGTAGTACCATAATTCAGTGAGAACATTGGTGTTGCTTGTGTCCTAAGAGTTTAGACAAAACTGAAGCACTGATTTGGAACTGACTTTATATATTCCCCTTGAAACATGTGTATGAGCCTTGACAGGGAAGAGGAGAAAATTGCTTTTTCTCTTCTCTTACAATCAGGGAGTTCATGCAACAGAGATTTACACTTATGCTATTTTCATACACTTTGTACCTGCCTTTCCAAACTAGTCTAAAGTTTCCATTCCAAGGTGACAGAATTGGAGAATTGGATGTGCTGCTTCTAATTGAATTGGTTCAAACATTCTGAATTTCCTAGTTAGTAAATTTTGTGGCTTTCTGTTTCAGATGAAATGTTTTCTTGGAATTTAATTTGGAATATGATTGCGGGTGCACTTCTGACTATGATGACGCTCTTCATCATAACTTCAAGTCTTAAACCACAAATCCTAGAAGGTAAGTAGGTTTTGGAGATGGGAGAACCAAAGTGGGATAGGGAAAGATAATTACAACTGCATGATACTTCATTCAGAAACCTGTCTGCAAGGGTATTATTATGGGTCATATATTATACATATATCTTTATCTTCAAAAGACTTTCTCTTGTTGATGTAGCTGCTGACATTGTTGTTTGTGAAATTCTTGCTTTATCTGCATTAGTCAAAATTAAACTTCCTTTTGTTGTGGCAACAGATATAAAAATCTGGAAAGCTTCTTAACATCCAACATATTTGCATCCTTCACTCTTGACTTCTTCGAGGTTCTAAAGAACTCATTTACAGCAGAAAGTGAAGCTCTAAACTGCATTGCAGAACTGGATGCATAGTTTTTATTCAGTGCAACACCAGGAAAACTAAACCTATTGGGAGATGTTAAAGTATCAGATGGTATATTTTCCAAGGAGGAAAATAATGCATTCTTTTTCAACAGTGCTATACTGGGAGGAAGTGAACTTGGAGGGTCACACAAAACACACACACACACACACAGCTGTTTGGGTTTTAAAGATGTGCTAATTTGCTAATTTTAATGACCTTGAACTGACAGATTCATCTGCATGAAGCTCTATCTTTTCAGTGCATACTCAAGGCCTTTAGAAACTTTCCCATGTACAGCTTAGTTGTTAGGTAAGGATTTGGGTGTCAGCGCTTCTGTGTTTCGCTCCTATTTCTTGACTTCCTCTTTCATTCCCAGTTGATCTCCTTCCCTGAGTTCTACTACCTGAATTAAAACAGCTTTCATTCTCCAGAACTGCATCTAACCCACACAGCACAAAGCCACATACTCACAACATGCATTCTTCTTTATTGCTGTGATGAAAGTAACTTGTTTACTTTGTTTACTTCTTGATACAATCTACTTATTTTTTGTAAGAAGTAGGGCTTGGGAGAGATGAGGAATCAGTTGCAGGCATGGGAGGATGGGGGGGGGACTAGGATTGGCATGTGAAGTAAAATTGTTTCTAATTTAAATTAAAAAAAAGAGTGCTTTTGCAGAGGAAAACACATTTAATATCATTTCTCAGGAAATGTTACAACTTTGGAAAAGAATGAAACAATCTTAAACAAACAAGAAGAGGAGGAGGAAGAGAAGGAGGGCGTCTATTGCTCTTTCGCTTTATCACTGCATCATTGGTTGCATTTTCTTCTTCAGAATTTCAAATCCCTCTTGAGAGACTTGTAGATATAGATTTTTCTAAATAGACCCTTCCACTTATTAAGTCTTTATCTCTGGCGCACCTTGGGCAGGCAACATTTTATTCATCTTGTCTTCAAACTGCTTTTAGAGCATTCTAAAAGCTACAGAGTTGATCTTATAATAGGAACTATCATACCATCATGAGATGCCAGCAATTACTGAGGCTTTGCTACTGTCAAACCTTATTCCAAAAGGCTTATACATAGTAAGTCTCATAATCTGTGTTGCATATATTTAACTAAATATTATTACTAAAGGATTGCCTATTAAAATAGCCTGAAAAGCAATTTCCAACACTAAGAAAGCTACCCAATGTTTGAGAAGCTTCTAGTTCAATGTCAGCTTGCTTACTCTGTATCTTGGAATGAAAATATGTTGTATCTTCACATTTATTCTTGGTGAGGAACCAAGAGCAATGGCTATAGAGTGCTTAATTTTGAAGGACTTTGGGATCTCCCTAACCAGCAACACATAGGGAAATAGCCCATATGGGCACAAGGATTTTAATTTAA